ACCGTCTAGGATCTACTTTTTAAATCTTCTATCCCCTGTAGTTATCAACTGCATGTACGAGGCCTCTAGAAACTAGTAGTTAAACTGAACCAACTGGATGGGAGTAACCATGTAATAGGGCTTGTTTTCCAAAGAGCATTGTTTAGAGTAGCGAAATTCTAAGCCTATTCAGGCATGTGGTAAAGCTGTTCAAGAAGTAACTCAGCAAGTTCTGTGAGTGGAAATGTAGTGCTCTCAAGTCACATTCTGCTTTAAAAGGTTGTAACAAATATAAACAAATTAAAAAAAAATTCTGTGAAAATGTTTTCTTTGGGGGAATGTGGGAGTTCAGGTGACAGGGCAGGCCTGAATGTAAGAACTTGAGGTATACACACGTGTTGACTATGAGGAGATTTAAGGAAAGAGGGACGTGGTTACCTTTGGCAGCCTGAGGTCTTCATGACCTTGGCCATGCATGCTGAGGTGGCAGCTGTGGGGGGGGCGGGGAGCATGATCTAGAGCACATGGGAGAAAATGGGAACATCATGAGCATGCATTCTCTGTATGCTGTGTGCCGTTTCCTCACGGACAGTTCCTCTCTCCTTAGGATTTTCATGTCCAAACTGCTATTTTGTAGTATTTGTAAAACCTGCTTTATGTCCTAAGTATAGTTCCTTAATACCTCAGCCTTAGGAATATCTGAGTTCTTTACCAAATCTACTTACTGTCATCCCACCTGAAATCCTTTTACTCTCTGGTTCTTTACTGAGCCTCAGGCAAGATGCACAGAGGGGTGGTTGCAGACCCTGTGAGCCACAAGAGGGAGAAGGTGAGCTCCGGTCTTAAACGGGAACCGGCTGAGTGGGTAGGCTTTCCCTGTGGGAGCTGGGGGCAGCAATGGCCAGCCCTAAAATTCAGTGTTTGTAGCAAACGGGTGGTAGCAGGTCCATACAGGGTTTGGAGACTAAGGTCACGTACAATGACCATGGCTAACCTAGGGGAAGGGCTGGGAGAGAAGGAGTTGCATGTCCTGGGGAAGGTTGGTCCCCTGGCGCCCTTGCAGCTGCTGACTGCCTCCTGAATGGTAATCACGTTTAATCTTCTGAGAAGTTTCTGGCCTCAGACAAGTAGGAATTGCTTACGTTGAGGCGTCCATACTTGATTCCAGATTTACCTCCAAAACCCAGGCTTTCTGGTGTTTTGCTGCTTAGTGAAAGATGTTACCAGCTGGGAGGAAGTGTGAGGTTTTCACACTAAAAAGAATGCCAAGAAGGGCAAAAGGGAAGTTTTCTAACGTGTTTCCTGAGTCGAGTAAGAATGCTGAAGATGGCGGGCGCCTGGGTGGCTCAGTTGGTTGAGCGACTGCCTTCGGCTCAGGTCATGATCCTGGAGTCCTGGGATCGAGTCCCGCATCGGGCTCCCTGCTTGGCGGGGAGTCTGCTTCGTCCTCTGACCCTCCCCCATCTCATGTGCTCTCTCTCATTCTCTCTCTCTCAAATAAATAAATAAAATCTTAAAAAAAAAAAAATGCTGAAGATGGCATTGGACACAGAATCCACAGAGGACCTCTGTAAGTGATCTCCCAACTGAGTTACTTGAGGCAAAGGTGTACTGTGGATCCGGAAGCACCACCCAGTGACCCTGTTTGGAACCCGGACCACGAAGAAGATGGATGCTCAGCACGGAGGGTGAGGAGCCAGCTGACACAAGAACATGGTGGCCTCAAAATCCAGTGTTGCTTCACAGCTTCCATAACTAGTCCTGTCCCGCTGAAGAGGTGAAGGCTGGTCCCGGGTTACAGAGTTGTAGGCAACCAGCAAGGAAGCAACAAAAGTGGAATGAGAACAAAACATGAATTTAGCAAAGTCCTAAAATCAGTATGCAAAAACCAACTGAACTTAGGTCAACATCAAACAATTGTTAAATATTTAAAGCTTCAGGGGTGCCTGGGTGGCTCAATGGGTTGTGTATGACTCTGGATTTCGGCTTAGGTCATGATCTCGGTCGTGACATCAAGTGCCAAATCGGGCTCAAGGGGGAGTCTGCTTGAGATTCTCCCCCTTTCCCTCTGCTTCTGCCTGCCACCCCAGCTTGCTCGCTCTCTCAAATCTTTTTATATATATATATTTTTTAAAGATTTTATTTTTTTGAGAGAGAGAATGAGATAGAGAGCATGAGAGGGGGGAGGGTCAGAGAGAGAGGCAGACTCCCTGCTGAGCAGGGAGCCCCACGTGGGACTCGATCCTGGGACTCCAGGATCATGACCTGAGCCAAAGGCAGTCGCTTAACCAACTGAGCCACCCAGGCGCCCAATCTTTTTTTTATATTTTTTTGAGAGAGCACAAGCAGGAGGGAGAGGGAGAAGCAGGCTCCCCAATAAGCAGGGAGCCCGACTCTTTTACAAAAAAAATCTTTAAAGAAAAAGTTTCTTTAAAAAATTAAGATTTTATTAGTGCACAAAATGGGGGAGGAGCAGAGGGAGAGGGAGAAGCAGGCTGCCCGCTGAGCAAGGAGCCCAATGCGGGGCTCGATCCCAGAACCCCGGGATCATGACCTGAGCCGAAGGCAGACGCTTAATGACTGAGCCACGCAGGTGCCCCCAAAATGGGTGGATTTTAATGGTATGTTTTACTTAAATAGCAAATGAAAACAAGTATGGGGGGTGCTTGGCTGGCTCAGTTGGAAGAGCAAGTGACTCTTGATCTCGGGGTCTTGAGTTCAAGCCCCACACTGGGTGTAGAGATTGCTAAAAAAAATAAGCTTAAAAAAATTACGGAAGGCAGTCTAATGGCCAAAAGTGACCTCAAGCAAGTCTCTGGACTTCTCACGCCTCGGACCTCGTTTGTCAGTTAGAAACCATGATGCCTGAGAGAAGCGTCCTGGCGCTTTCTAGGTAGTGGGCTTCACAGGTGCCTGGCGGGGAACAAGCGCTCCGAGACGCAGCTTTTCCTCGCCCGGACCCTCCGCCTCTAGGACCTTTCCCGCCAGTCCTGCGAGCTGCCCTCACCCGGGCTCGCTTCTACCACCCAGTCCTGGGGGGTAATGGAGCCCCAGCCTGAGCCGCCTGTCGTCCCGGAAGTCCTCCTCCCCCGCCTCTGCTCTCATCTTTAGCCTTCTCAATTTTTAGTAGCGCCTCGCATACAGTCAACCAAGTGTGCCGGGAACAGCCACCGAGAACTAGCCCGGTGCAGCTGCGTGGGCCCCACGGATGGACCAGCATCATCGCAGAAGACACGACAGCAAGGAGGGGCTCTGCTGGCGGGGCGGGGCCTGCGGAAGCTTCTAGAAGGGGCTGACTGCTGACAGAAAGCTGACCTGATGGCAACAAAGAGGAGAGGGGACAAGGGACCGTGTGCCTCGCCAGGCTTGAGAGCCTGGACCCTCGGCCTGGGGAAGGGACCGGCGCACAGGCTGAGTGCCGAGAGAGCTGGAGGGTGACCGTGGCTAACTGTGTGCCCTGGACGCTGGCCATTCGCCCCGGCCGAGGCCCGGGACCGGACGGAGACTCTGGCTGGCAGCGCAGCTGGTGGGAAGGCGGTAGCCGGCGGGCAGCCCCCGCAGAGGAGCGGGGCCGGTGCCCACTTCCTGAGGCATGTCTTTCCCACCAGGAACTGGTAAGCCCTTCCACCACGTTGGTGTTGTCTCGTCTTCAAGCCAGGTGGCCCCTTCCATGCTAGCGCACCCTGTCCCAGCTGCAGAGGGTGGCACACGGGGCCTCCGGCGCCGAGGGAGGCCCGTCGGAGGTGAGAGTGCGCCAACTCCCCCCGGGGCGTCCCCCCTGCAGCGCCCAGGCTGGGGACCGAGCGCGATGGAAGCTCCAGGCTCTGCTCTGCCTCCCAAGGTGGCAGCTCAGGAAGCGCTGACCCGCCTGGGCGTGAGTTTGGGTTACAGACGTTTCTCCCAAATACGCAGGACAGCGTCTGGCATGTGGCAGCCTATCAAGTCTTTGTTAATAGATTGGCCAAAGCACTTCGGTTTACAAACACTCTCCGTTTCTAATTTCTTCTATTTTTTCTAACTTTTATTTTGGGATGCCCTAAACACATGCAGAAGTAGAGGGAGAGAGACTAAGAAGTGTTGGTGAGGATGTGCAGGAATTGGGACTTCCTACACGGCTGCTGGGAATGTGGAGCCGAGCCGTTCTGGGAAACAGTCTGGCAGTTGCTCAGAAAATTAAACAGAGACTTACTGTCGGGTCCAGCAGCTCCAACGCTCAACGTCTACCCAGGAGACAAGAACACGTCCACAAAGACGCACACACACACTTCCATAGTGTTTGTCACAAAAGCCAAAAGGTGGGAACAAACCACATGTCCATCAACAGAGGTACAGATAAACCGAACGTAGTGATCCATACAGTGGAGTATTATTCCAAATACTGTATTCTTGTCATAAAAAGGTACGTAAGAAGTACCGATTCATGCCACACTGGGAACGAAACTGGACAACATGCTAAGTGAAAGAACCCAGTCACAAAAGGCCACGGGTGTATTGTATGATCCCATTTATTTATTTAAAAGATTTTATTTATTTATTTGACAGAGACACAGCGAGAGAGGGAACACAAGCAGGGGGAGCGGCAGGCAGAGG